TACTTGCACTCTTGTTGTTTTAAGCTTGTAAGTCTAACAAGATCTGTTAATTGAGAGTTGCATGACTGTGTATTTTAACAGAAATTGTGTATAGCTCATGATTTATGACTTTATTGTTCAGTTTATTTGCATTTTCAAAATGCTTTATGATTCTTGACAGCTGTTGATGTTGGAAAAATAACTAATTATGTAGCAAAGGGACTTTCAGTGACATAGTTTAATAGTTTGAAACATGATGGTTATTTTCTAGGTTGCTCTTTACTTATGGTATAGATGGTTTTCATTTTTCTTTATTTTAAATACAATGAACTCAGCAGGGTCCTGTGTTGCTTTAGACTTTATTGAACATATCAAGTTGTTATTTCTTTATATATATATCTACATTGCTAAGCTTAATTGAGTTTACTCAATTTTGAAAATGAATATTTTGACCAATTTCTCAGTAAATATAGGCAATGTTATTTGGTGAATTGAAACAAAACAGATTTATTAAACAGATATATTTATTAAATTAATATTTTATTCACCAAACATGTCTAGACATTGAAAGATAATACAACTAAATTCAAGCAAAATATTGTAAAAAAAAAATAATTATAATAATAACCTACAAAATGTCAATTGCATTTCTTTAGATTTTTTGCTTCTCTTGATTTTTCCTCTAATTTGTATTTGATATTTTTCTATAACATACACATTCGGGTGTACTAGTTTTTGGACCGTTATGGTAAGCTATTTTGTTGGATTAGCTCCAGATTTGGTTTAGTACTGACTAATCTAAAGTATATGCACAAATATAATTTTGTACAGCTTCCTTTACAAAATATGAATTTAAAAGATAGATTTGTAATAGGTGTACTTATATATGTTGAGCACTTTAATTTAATTACAGTAAAGATAAGAACATTAACAAGCACTTATTATTATTATTATTAACAAGCATTTATTATTACCATTACTATTATTTATTTAATTTTATTTTTGTAATGTTATTTTTATTATATACTGAAGATGCATAAACAAAGACATTTTAATTTTGGACACTCTGATTTGTTTTGTAGTAGGTATATTGTAGGAGATGTAGTTGATAATTATCTAGATTGCTCATGTTTAAAAAAATTGTCAATGTTTTTTTTCTGTTGTTATATATTAGTATATTATTATTTATTATTAATATTGATGTAATCAATCTGTATTTTAATATAAATTTATCTTATTTGAATCCATATTTAGGCGACATGGCGGCTCAGTGGTTAACACTGCCATCTCACAGCAAGAAGGTCGCTGGTTCAAGTCCCAGCTGGGCCAGTTGCCATTTTTGTGTGGAGTCTGCATGTTCTCCCCATGTTGGCGTGGGTTTCCTCAGGGTGCTCCGGTTTCCCCCACAGTCCAATTCATGCATTCTTTTCAGCTTATTCCCTTTGTTAATCAGGGTTCGCCACAGCAGAATGAACCACCAACTTATACAGCATATGTTTTACGCAGCGGATGCCCTTCCAGCTGCAACCCATCACTGGGAAACATCCATACACTCCCATATACACATGTACACTATGGACAATTTAGCCTACCCAATTCACCTATAGCGTTTGTCTTTGGACTTGTTGGTACCCGAGCACCCAGGAGAAACCTACGCGAGCATGCGGAGAACATGCAAACTCCAGACAAATATGCCAACTGACCCAGATGGGACTCGAACCAGTGACCTTTTTGCTGTGAGGCATTCGTGCTACCCACTGCGCCACCATGACGCCTATTAACATTACTATTATTTATTTATTTATTTTTGTAATTTAATTTTATTATATAGATGAATAGACAAAAATATTTTACGTTTGGACACTCTCCAATTTGCTATGGTTTGAAGTAGATATATTGTAGTAGACGCAGTAGATAATTTTCTGCATTGCTGCCAGCGTTTTTCTGTTGTTTTTATTCATTCATTTTCTTTTTGGCTTAATCCTTTTATAAAACTGGTGTCGCCACAGCGGAATGAACCACCAGCTTATCCAGCATATGTTTTACTCAGCGGATGCCCTTCCAGCTGTAACCCATCACTGGGAAATCTGTTGTTTTATATTAGTAAATTCTTATTTATAGTGTTATTAATATTGATGTAATCAATCTGTTTTTTTATATATATATATATATATATATATATATATATATATATATATATATATATATATATATATATATATATATATATATAAATTAATCTTTTTTTAATCCATATTATTTTTGGAATCTCGATTTATTTTTAATATTGGTTTAATTGTAACTGAATAAAAATCAAATCAAATTATTCCTTTCAAGGAAGCTTTAATGTTGGATGTTGAAAATGCCTTGATAAGGTGCAAGTTGGAAAATGCACAGATAAACGTTCAGAAAGTGGTATAAATATAGAGTATTTATGGTATTTAAATGTCAGCGTGTCAGCACTTTTAGAAGGCAGTAATTTCCATCTTCAATGGATTCTTTTGGCTTTCGTAGCATTCAGTGAAACAGCTCTATGGAAAACTGAATGTGCAGTCCTGTAATTGCCAAGTATGTGACCATATGACATGCACACCAGGATTAAACACAGCTATGCTCATTCTCACTATTGCACCCCAGAAACATGCCTGAAAAGGTTTTATAGCAAAATCCATTTAGTTTTAATTAAATCTGAACAGTCCAATGCACTAAGACAAGCCCCCAGAGCCCAGCAATTGCTATACTTCCAGCTTGTTTTAATGGGAAGAGTGTTGTGTTTTAATGCAGGACTCCGCAGAGTGGAGAATGGTCAGAGAAAGCTAAGTTTTCTGCAAAGTGTGAACTGAACACCCACGCGAGCGGAAGCGCTGCAGATGGAGTATTAATCTGTCAGCATGGGCTGCGCTCCTCAGATTCAGGTGTCGCCTGCTGTGTGTCATGGCAGCCTGTCATAGGAAGCACCGCCGGAGTCTTCGCTCTCTGAGATGACATTTGCCTTGCTTTTATTGGCCAGAGTCAGTCTTAGTGGAAGCCAAGGCAATCAGAACCCGAGCTGTATTAGTGGCTGTCTTAAAGTGTTGCTGACTGGCATGTGGGAGTCACTGTTGTTGTTTTTTCTGGAAATTTTGAGTAGGAACACTCCATGTGGCTTGATTTATTTTAATGTATTAATTTAGTCTGGCTGGGAAAGGTACAGGAGTGAAAAGCTAAACATTGAATTTCCATTTTTCCTAATATCTGTCTATTAGAATGATGTTCTCTATGAAGTAATGCATTTGATTTACTGCATACCTTGGGTAATCCTCAAAAAATCCATAATACTTATTCTCTTGTCATTGTTGTTGCTATATGATATAAAAAAAATGTTAAATACAAAATATGTACATTTTAATTAAGGAATTATATTAATATTAATACTTATATTCTAATACAAAAACACATGTGGTATTATTGTCTGTGGCTTAAAAATGCATTAAATTGTTCAATATATTAACAGGGGGAAAAGAAAAGTATTGAATGCATCACCATTTTCTCAGAAATCCTATTTTTAAAGGTGCTGTAGACTTTTCATAGACATTGCAGAATTTTCACCAGATGTCAGTAACAGCCAAAGTAATCCTTAAATGCAAAGTTTAGACACAAGGAAAAAGTATTGAACACATGAAGAAAGGGAAGTGTAAAAAGATATGCTGAAAATCTCTCCGTAGTTATTCAGCAACTTAGAGCTCTTGTCATTGTAAACTAGGATTAGCTGCTTCAGTTCAACACCAACATTACCAGGATGATGAAGATGAAAACATGTTGGACATTTAAGCAAGACCATGATAGCAAACACAGCCAAGCAAACTCTTTGGTTTCAGAAAAAGAAAATAAAGCTAATAATAATGCTAGAATGGCACAGCCAATAATTTGATTTGAATAAGAACTAAAGATCAGACTTCATAGATGAAACCCACCGAGCAGTTACGATTTTTAGATTTTAGGTATGAAAAAAATCACACCTGAGCAATGCATGTAACTCCATTCTTCATGCAAGAGACATCCTGATGCTGTCAATACCAACAAAAAGGCTTTTATACAAAGTATTAAATTTCATCATATAAGTACCTTCTCCTTTTGTCATTTCCTTGTTAATACACATAACAATATTTTGTCAGATGTCAACTTCATGCCAACTGCTCTTTTGGAAATATATTTACCAGTAAAAAATATGAGAACTATGAGTGTTTAATGCTTATTTTACTCACTGTCTTCCTCTACAATTATGGTAAATTTATAAAGATTCTATTTTGATAATATATATATTCTATTATTATTATTATTATTATTATTATTATTATTATTATTATCAGTATTAGTTACTCTTAATTTAATGTATTATAATTATAATACATAATGGGGTTTTTTTATACATAACTTCCTGTCTCCAACACCAACCCCTCTTTATCTAGTCTTAATCTGTCTAATCATTAGTTTGTTTGTTATTTGTAAAAATATATATATTCATTCCTTTATTTTCCTTTTGGCTTAGTCCCTTTTTTAATCAGGGGTTGCCACAGCAGAATGAGACACCAACTTATCCAGCATATGTTTTACGCAGCGGATGCCCTTCCAGCTGCAACATATCACTGGGAAACATCCATACACACTTATTCACAAACATACACTACGGACAATTTAGCTCCCAATTATCATCAATTACTTTTCCCAATTCACCTGTACTGCATGTCTTTGGACTTGTGGGGAAAACCTGAGCTCCCGGAGGAAACCCACGCTACCCCGCCCCGTCTCCCCTCCAATATATATATAGTTACGTTTGATTTGTTGCCAGACTAACTGAAAAAGTGATAATGTTGCTGTTCTAGTGATTTGACCTAGCATTCTCATCTAAGTCGTATTGGATACAAGTGTCTGCTTGATGAATCATTGTAATTACATGTATATTTTTTCCCACAAAGTAGATGGAGGGGAAGAAAATATATGCATGCAAAATAAGTGACTGTTCTAATTTCATTTTTTTTCAGGATAAATCCTACATTCAGTATCTTATCCACACCCGTGAGGAGTGTCCTGTGAGATCCTCTCATCATGGGGATGCGAGGCCTGCTGCTGGCCTCTATGGCAGTGGCTGTTTTAGTTCATCTGTCTAGTGCTGGCCTGGTGAAAAGAGTAATCAGACACAGAAGAGAATCCCTCTCACCAACCACTGAGAACTTGACCCTGCCGAGCCCTGATCAGCCTGTGGTCTTCAACCATGTGTACAACATCAACGTCCCCTCCGGGTCCCTGTGCTCTGTGGACATGGATTCACCCGGAACAACAGAAATTAAGCCCAAGTCGGAGCAATCTGACCAGCACATAGAACACACCACAGACGGAGAGAATCAGATTGTTTTTACTCATAGGATTAATATTCCCAAGCAAGCTTGCGGTTGTGATAACCACATGCCGGATATGAAGGAGCTTCTGAATAGGCTGGAAATGCTGGAGGCAGAGGTTTCCAGTTTAAGAGAGCAGTGCACCAGTGGGGCCGGCTGCTGTTCTGCTCAGGTTACAGGTGAGCCCATATACAGTATTAGAAAAATAATGTCATGAAGTGGCTGCACAGGAAGATTGAGAGATATTAGGGGAGGTTGAAAGCATAAGGGCTAAACTAACTAAATTGACAGATGAGAATCAGTGTTAATATCACACAATGGCATTTGCTGCAGTTCAAAAGTCATGCAAAGGCGCAAGGTAAAAATTGGTCTCTATCTGCTGAATGAAGTAATTGGTATTTCAAGATCACAGCAGTGCACCTTCAAGATTGCTCTTCTCTAGGATAACAGATTAAGAGAAAATTTGAAAAATAAATGTAATATCATTATAGACATATATATGGTTAAAGTCAGAATTATTAGCCCCCCTGAATTGTTAGCCCCTGTTTTTTTTTCCCCCAGTTGCTTTTTTACGAAGAGAAGGATTTTTTCTACACATAATAGGTTTAATAACTCATTTCTAATAACTAATAACTTATTTTATCTTTGCCATGATGACAGTAAATAATATTTTACTAGATATTTTTCAAGACACTTCTATAAAGCTTAAAGTGATAGTTAAAGGCTAAACTAAATTAATTGGGTTAAATTGGCATGTTGGGGTAATAAGGCAAATCATTGTACTGTATATAAATGGTTTGTTCTGCATATAATCGAAAAAATTAAAGGGCCTAATAATTTTGTCTTTACAATGTTTACTAAAAAAAACGGCTCTTCTTCTAGCTAAAATAAAACAATTAAGACTTTCTCCAGAAGAAAAAATATTATCGGAAATACTGTGAAAATTTCCTTGCTCTGTTTTATTTGAGAATTTTTTTCTTTTACAAATTCAAAGGGGGGCTAATAAATTCAACTGTATATATCAACTGCATTTCATTGCCTTGTAATTGTACATGTGTAACATAAATAAAGTTGAATCTAATCTAATCTAATCTAATCTTGTATATATATCATATGTACAAATATAGAAATACAGACCATATATGAAGTTATATATATGTATATCATATATGATGTGAAAGAGTGAGGTTGGTGGAAAGTTAGATCTCCTACTAATTTATGAAATAAAATATAATACAGCATTAAATTTACCTTTGGGGATCAGAGATATGGTAACTAAGTTTTAATTCAATTCAAGATAATGTTAAGACTTCAAGGTATACTTGGTATACCATTATTATCATTCAGCCTATAAAGCTCAAACTTACTGAAGTTTTATTAAAAATTACATTAATCTGCATATCAGCTCCCCTAAAAAATCCTTTGGGATTCAGTATTGCAGTTATATTTAGACTGATGTCATTGTCTTAAAAAGATTCCACTACTTTCATCATGACCTCAATTTAAATCTGCCAAAATGTATTTTTTAAAAAGAGTCTGGAAAAAAAAAGCATCCGAACAATTTTTGAAGCCACTCAGAAATATGCAGTTTATTAAAACTGGCATTATCTTTTTCTTTTGTAATTTATCCCTCAAAATGTTTGAAGAAATCATTAATAAAAACCTAAATTTACATACTCTCCAGCTTATTAGAAATCTGTATGATTTTCAGTAAAAAATAAAAATAAAAAATAACTTTTTTGACTTAAAACAGTTGTTGATAACTATTAAGTCTTGTGAATTTTTTTTCCCTGAATACATAAACTTTTTTTTTTTAAGAATGAATTTTCATGAATTACTGTATTCTCGTCCCTAAATTGACCAATGACACTGTTTCTCAGCTGAAAATGAAACTAATAATGACTAAAAATCTCTTTCTCAGGTGAAGTCACAACCAAACCCTACTGCAGTGGCCGGGGCAACTACAGCACTGACACCTGCAGCTGTGTTTGTGAACCCGGGTGGAAGGGAGTCAACTGCTCTGAGCCAGAATGCCCAAACTACTGCCAGGATCAAGGGCGTTGTGAGGATGGCAAGTGTGTCTGCTTCGAGGGCTTCGGTGGTGAGGATTGTGGCATCGAGCTGTGCCCTGTGGATTGCGGTGAGAATGGAGAGTGTATCGACGGGGCTTGTATCTGCGCTGAAGGCTTCATTGGTGAGGATTGTAGTTTAAGCAACTGCCCAAGCAACTGCCTCGGCAGGGGGCGCTGTGTGGATGACGAATGTGTATGCGACGAGCCTTGGACAGGGTTTGACTGCTCCGAGCTTATATGTCCCAACGACTGCTTCGACCGAGGCCGCTGCGAGAATGGAACCTGCTATTGCGATGAGGGCTTTACTGGGGAAGACTGCGGGGAGCTTACCTGCCCCCAAAACTGCAACCACCATGGAAGGTGCGTCAATGGCCAGTGCATCTGCAATATTGGCTACAGTGGGGAAGACTGCTCCAAGCTAACATGTCTCAATGACTGCAGTGAGAGAGGTCACTGCTTTAATGGCAAGTGTATATGTGACCCTGGATTCGAGGGCGAGGACTGTAGCCTTCTCTCCTGCCCAGACAACTGCAATGGCCGAGGACATTGTGTCAACGGTGAGTGTATTTGTGGTCCTGGATATGAAGGTGATGACTGCTCGGAGCTTTCCTGTCTCAATAACTGCCACGATCGTGGTCGATGTGTCAACGGGAAGTGCATATGCAAAGCAGGTTTTGCTGGAGAAGATTGCAGCATCAAGACCTGTCCTCATGACTGCCATGGACGTGGAGAGTGTGTAGATGGCAAGTGTGTTTGCCATGATGGATTTGCTGGAGAACACTGTGGCATCAAGACCTGCCCCCATCACTGCCATGGACATGGACAATGTGTGGACGGCAAGTGCATTTGCCACAAAGGCTTTGCTGGAGAAGACTGCAGTATCAAAACCTGCCCTAATCACTGCCATGGACAGGGACAGTGTATAGATGGTAAATGCATTTGTCATGACGGCTTTGCTGGAGAAGATTGCAGCATCAAAACCTGCCCTAATCACTGCCATGGACGTGGACGTTGCGTTGATGGCAAATGCATTTGCCATGATGGTTTTGCTGGAGAAGACTGCAACATCAAGACTTGTCCCAATGACTGTCATGATCATGGAGAGTGTGTGGATGGCAAGTGCATTTGCCATGCTGGCTTCACAGGCCACGACTGCAGTGAGTTGACTTGCCCCAATGACTGCCATAACCGAGGACGTTGTGTAAATGGGCAATGTGTGTGTAACATCGGGTTCACTGGGGAGGACTGTGGTACAAAGACATGTCCCAACAACTGTCTGGACCGTGGCTTCTGCGAAGATGGAAAGTGTGTCTGCTTTGAGGGCTACACCGGTGAGGATTGCTCTGTACTGACCTGCCCTGCAGACTGCAATGACCAAGGCCAGTGTCTGAATGGAATGTGCATATGTGATCTGGGCTTTACTGGCGATGACTGCTCTGAGAGTAAGTGCCTATATTTACACCTACATGTTTCTGATTGAACCAGTGTTGTTATGTCAGGAAATGTGTTGATATCACTATAGAGCAAGAGTATTTAGGAAATTAATCTATGAAAGTCTTACTTAGGCACTGTTTACAACTTTTAATATGGTGACATTCAGCTGATCTTAAGTGTACTAGGGTTTACATGGATTTAAAACAGCTGGTTTGAACTTTTCTACTGTTTCTAGAGGTAGTCGAAAATCCATTCAACCTGATTGCTTTAATAGTGTAGACACTATCTCAGATCAGATCTTGGATTCAAGCGGCCGAAATGAGTTTCCTTCACAGCGTGACAGGGCGCACCCTTATGGATAGGGTGAGGAGCTCTGACACCCAGGAAGAGCTCGGAGTAGAGCCGCTGCTCCTCCACATCGAGAGAAGTCAGCTGAGGTGGCTAGGGCTTCTGTTTTGGATGCCTCCTGGACGCCTACCTAGGGAAGTGTTCCAGGCATGTCCCACCGGGAGGAGGCCTCGGGGAAGACTTACGACACGCTGGAGGGACTATGTCTCTCTGGCATGGAAACGCCTCCAGATCCCCCTGGAGAAGCTGGAGGAAGTGTCTGGGGAGAGGGAAGTCTGGGGTTCTCTCCTAAGACTGCTGCCCCCGTGACCCAACCCGGGAAAAGAGATAGAAAATGAATGAATGAATTAATTAATTAATTAATTTTTTCAATGAATTAAAAATCTTGTATCTGCCTGCTAACCTTATTCTTAAACATTTCAAGACATTCTGTTGAATCATGCTAGCCAGATGAGGCACAAACCTTGCTATCTAAAATAATAAATCGGTTAGTATACCGTTTGAATGCAAATCCACTGACTTTGGTGGAGTTTTGCAGCTACCAAAGCAGAAACAAAAGCTTCTGATCACTACATAACTTTCATTCAAATGTAATTTTGCTACCTTATTACAGAATACTAGAAAAGCAGATGAGAAAAAGTCCCATAAACACACAAGTCTATAGACTCTCCTCACAAAGAAATCAGGAAAGTATTCAAAAGTAAGCAAAAGTGACAATTTATAACACCAAATGTGGACATGAATGTGTCATCTAAAATCAGGTACCTTAACCAAATCACCAAATTGCCCCTTGACAATAAGCTAGAAGATAAAGTATTTCTCTCTTTCAGGAACTGATATTGAGTTATTTTTGTGACTAATTTGTCTTGTTTTAATCCACAGTCTCCCCACCCAGAGACCTTACTGTGACTGAGGTCGACCCAGAAACAGTGGACGTCGCCTGGGTTAATGAGATGCTTGTGACAGAGTATCTTATCACCTATGTACCTACGGCTCCTGGAGGTTTGGAGATGGAAATGAGAGTATCTGGTGAAAAGAAGACAGCTACTATTAGGGAGCTAGAGCCTGGCATAGAGTACCTAATCAGTGTCTTTGCAGTTCTCAACAGCAAGATGAGCGTCCCTGTCAGTGCCAGAATAGCCACACGTGAGTCACCAATATCCTTCAATGCTTGTTATTTTGTCCTGAATATATTCTGATGCACTGCTCCATATCTTACAATCAGATCTTCCTGAACCTGAGGGCCTGAAATTCAAATCCGTGAAAGAGACTTCAGTGGAGGTTGAGTGGGACCCCTTGAACATCCCGTTTGATGGCTGGAATCTGATCTTCAGAAACACAGTGAGTGTCCTGGCATCGCCTGTGAGTCTCTAAAGTGGCTGCGATCCAGA